CTAGAAAGAAACTTGGGATATTCCAAGCACATGTGTGCCATGGACCAAATTGCATCCTCTTCAGATTGTTATGGCAGACCGTCACTTGTCGTGTTAATACGATTAACATCTCAGCTGATTCTTATGTTGTGTGACATTTCTTCAGCTGCATCGAATGAAATGAGAAGCTGAAGATTTCTGTCTTCAGGGTTGTTGCGCTGTGTAGTCTGGTCGATGTTAACCAACGTTTCAGAGGTCATACTGCCTCCGTCATGACGCAACAACCCAGAAGACGGATATCTTCATACTCATCGCTGTGAGAACCTCAAGTCTTACAAATGAGAAGCTGTTCTTGAATGAAGATCATCTTATTGGCCTATTTGAGGACACTGTCACATCATCAACATGGAGAGACTGAGGAAACCTACGAAAGACGTCGGTCACGATATCATGTAATCCGGCCGAGATTCGAACCGGTTAACTGGCGAGTTAAATTTTGATCAATATTATCGATATGAAAATTGGATTAGGTTTTAATGATTTTGTACGTAAACCTGCTGAGAAATGAGGCATGGAAATTATGTTACACCAAACTTTGCAGTAATAAGACATAATTGTCTTTGGGATGGGAATGGTGACTAAGAAACGTCGTACGGGTACAGCACACAGGTCTACGCCATCTTAAATTTTCTTCGACAGTCATCGTGTTAAAGCAAACTGACTCCTGCATTTTGTCCAAAATATTTAATGTAACCTCATTTTAACAGCCTGTTAATGGCGTAATATTTTTGTAATTTATAATACGGGATGACTGGTTTTCGATTCCAGGCAGAGGCTGTGTGGGAATTTCTCAGCCGCTGGTCTCTGTTCCTGGAGGTAAAGCGACTGGAACATGAAGCTACAAACAAAAGTTGGCTATTGGACCCTAACGTGGGCGAGGTCAAAGCGGCTAATTCACTTTTGACCAATTCAGTAAATTACCCCTTTTTGAAAAAGTTTTATGTTACCCAGCTGTCTCTCTTTATCATAACGTGTATAAACCTTAAATATTGGCAACACGTCACAGTCTTAAGTTTCGCTACCTTCATACAGTTGTCCCAAAAATATGTATGTACACATTCAATGAACGAAATAAAGAGATTAAAATAAAACTAAACCATTACATACGTCAACACTGGAACTTGGTTAAGTGACTAATCTATTGTAGTTCTTCGAAATGACCACCGGTAGCTTCGTGGCGCAGTTGATCGCGGTGAGCAACTGCGGTCACCTTATTACAATGTGTATACATCTTTTTTGGGACACTGACAGTACCGTACGTGAGGACTTCCATCATGTCTGGTACTCACTGAGAACCGACGCTACACGCCGTCTGCATATTCAGATCGGCAAACATAATGTGATAGCCCCCCTCTCTCTCTCTCTCTCCGCGGTCGATATTATTAATTAGCGGTGATATAAAAAGCATTTCTGAGAGTGACTTGCTTCTGTTTGTGAACTTTTTTTCCTTCTAAAGTGCATCAGAACTGTTTCATAACTTAATGGGTGTGTCTGCGTGTCAGCACGGAATTATTTGGCGACTATAAAGATGGCTGGCATGCGTAAGGGCAAACTGTATTTTATTCTCCTTGTTTAGACACTAATTTCAAGACTACAAAAAGAATTATTCTTAAACGATGGACCACGGATCATAGTGCAGCTACGATAAAATAATCTTTCTTCATTAACACATGGGTACGTGGGTTTTTTTCCCCCGTGTCAAAAGTTGATTTAAATTGGTAACGTGTATTTGTTCACCCCTGTATGTAGATTTGTGTCGCCGAAACAGTTCTGCGTAATCAGTGACGATTATAAAACACAGAAACGTTTCTTGACGTTGTTACTATATCAGACATGACGAACGGAAAACAACACAACACTTCCTTGTTTATCGGAACATGTGGAGGCGGTTCCTCTAAATTGAAGCTTTTTCTGTATCCTTTTTATTATTTTTTTTATATTTCAGAAGAAAGGCGAGAAACGGGAGTGATCTCAAACAAATGACAATGAACTGGCGTTATGTTTTCATTCAACACAGACTGTCCAAAACATGGTCTGAAACTCTGATCTGTTTGACAATTTTTTAAGAGGTGCATTAACGTATCGTTTCTATTTTCGCTACTGAAAATTGCCAAAATATGCCTCCTAGCTTCGCAATATTCATTTAGAGGCGGATTAACCCGATAGCGCATGCGCACGAACGTTTACACCAAACTACGATCGAAGGTAAATGGCCACTAGGGAATAACAGCAACAGTAGAGTGGCCTTAACTGTAGGCGACAGAATAAAACGACTTTGTTAGCGAAACTTAGCCGTATTCGATGAAACTTAAAATTGCCCGGTTGTAGAAGGGCGTGGCAATATACATACGCTTAAGAACATGAAAATTAATAAGCCCGCAGGCAAGTTTATGCGAAGGCCTGCATGTGGGGTTAGGATTCAAAGAGCAATGTTCTTAAAATGTAACGGGGTCCCATTAAAACGAAGGTTTAATTTTATCCTTGCAAGGCCGTGGTCTAGGCAACACGGAGTTTTCCTCCGTGGCATCCCAACAATTACTCCATTCACACATAGAAGAAGGCAATGGCAAACCACTTATGGATCATCTGCCAAGAACGTATATGAACGGGTCCCAGTCCGAGAAAAGGATGGAAGGATCCTGTTCATATGGACCTGTCATCAGACAGAACACTAAATAATAATAAGATGAGGTGGTCTAGCGGTGTATACACTGTTAAACGGAGAGAACTCTATTGCCGATAGTGTCTATGCCACTTCAGAGAAGCCATGAAATATAAATTTTAATCGAACGTGAAACCGTGACGTGGAAATCCTTACCGAAGTTGTAAAATCCAAAATATTGCAGACGCTAAACTGATCATCACGAAGCACGTCAGTGTGCCGTGGAGATGAGAGATATCGCGGGCTTCAGAATAACATGGGCAGTCCATCAGGATGTGTGCCACAGTAAGCTGGACACCACAGTTGAGCGATGTATCTCTCTCGACGCGGACAGAGTAAAGACCCCAAGGAGGTTAGCTTTTAATAGTAGCTATGACTGTTTATCAATCTCGAGGCATTCTTTACTTCCCCGCTATAATAAAATGGGTTTATTTGAATGTTACGTAGCGTGAGGTCGGCGTTCTTATATTAACGGGTGAATTTCTGCTATCGGTTCTTCTTCTTGTGTGTTGGTCGCGTTAACTAGTTTGGAAAGCCCCCCCCCCCTCCGAAACCATATGCGTCAGTCTGCCATCCGGGGGATAAAAGAGAATAGGCCCCAAATTCTTCCGGTCTGTGCCGGCGTGGGGACCTCGACCACGGCCCGATCTCATGGAATACTTCAGAGGAGTTACTCCATAAGATATCACTGACAATTACGAGCCTCGTGGCAAGTCGTATGTCTTCGGCGAGCTGCACTGTTGTGCCCCTACCGTGAGGATAATGACCTATTCAAACATATGGACGACCATGTTCCTTTCGAGCCGTTGATTTTGTTCAGTTATCTCGAATGGCGTTTACTTCTTTTATAGACTACGACAGAAAACTGAAATTTGCATCAATGAAGGCCACGGCGACTTTTAGCAGCTACAGTTCATTTGGATCCTTAAATATATCTTGTAATAGAGGAAGAAATGTTCCTGTCAAGTTCAATTAGCACAAAACAAAAGACATCGACGTTTTCTGGGTACCAGACAATGGCATTCATCCAAATTCTCAGACGTATAATTACTGGAGTTGTAGGGAATAATATTTCTTGAGCTTTGTTTTTGAATAGCTTTATATCAGTTGGCGATTTCACAAAGCTTTCCTTCCATTAGCCACTAACCTGCCTGATTTTTTTACACGAACCCTGTGCAAAACAAAGATTACTTACCGAACGACGCGTGTTGATTGGCTGCACGTACTGTAAACAGTCCCAAAAAAGAAATTTACACAAATGCAGTGAATGGAATCAAGACAATTTAAGAAAACAAAGTCACTACACACGAGAGCATTGGTACTTAGTGAATTAACGAATCTGGTGTAGATGTTCGAAATGACCACCGTTAGCTCTGTGGCACAGTTTACAGCGGCGAGCGCATGCGCAAGACCGTTCAGATTCTTCCAGAGCTCTGGTAGTGTTTCATTGGCTTTGTGCTGCACACCGCGTCCTTCAAGAAAAAGTCAAATTGGGTTAAATCTGGCGATCGTGAAGGGTACTCAACAGATCCTCGGTGGGGAAATGTGTTGTCAAGACAGGCCCTGATATCACGACCGTAATGCATGTCCCCATCTCTGTAACAAGGTTTATATTTACATAGTGGATCTTAAAATAGTGTAGTTGCGTCATATTGTGATTTATTAAATTAAAATTAAATTATTTGGTTATTCCGTCAAATCACAATGTATTTAAAATAAGATAATTAAAATATCATTCTGTGTTCCATATCGAATAATCGATTTACAATTGGAACAGTTACAACATGTTTGTTAATAAACCAACCATCATCAGGTGTAAAATTATATTAAATTTAAAACTCAATTACAATTTTTTACAATTCATATGAAAATATCTGGACACGACCTCCAAAACTACACTACGAAAAAATTGTAAAAAATTGTAATTGAGTTTTAAATTTAATATAATTTTACACCTGATGATGGTTTAATAAAACCGAAACATGTTGTAACTGTTCCAATTGTAAATCGATTATTCGATATGGAACACAGAATGATATTTTAATTATTTTAATTATCTTATTTTAAATACATTGTGATTTGACGGAATAACCAAATAATTTAATTTTAATAGTGGATTTTAATAAAAGCAATGAAACTATAATAAATAGTTATTGTGTAAACGAACTTTCAACCTAACTATCAGCACACAACAGGATGCATCCCTTAAAAGAAATGGGTAGTGTTAATGAAGACATAAATGTGAATATATTGAATATAATAATATTCCAGACCAGTCTCTTGAACGAAGAATTTATTTTATTTCCGTAATAAGAAAATCTGGTTCAGATTTCACTTTTAACGGGTAGAGGGAATCGTGAAGTGCCTTGTCGGTCAACATCCACATGCTTGTGTACGTTGCTGGTGGCTACAATTACGTAGTATTTCTTCCGAACAGGAGCGGGGCAAAGGATCTGAAGAGATATAAATATTTGCTCCAAAATTACCAGAAAACACTCGAAGATGCTAGTACTGTATGCCACTCGCCCACCACAGTGTAGCCTTATCGCGATCACTGAATCACTCGCAGGAGCCAGTGAAGGTCATAAGGGCACTACCGCGTCACTTTCTGGAGATACGACACATGAAAACAAAACTGAACTAACTTAGTTACTTTGAGTTCAATTCAATTTGTGGGAACGACATATATTTTCAAATTATTCCCTCTGGTCATCATTGATGTATCTGATCTTTCGTAATCTATTCATGCACCGAATTCTCACATTCTGAGGAAAAAATAAGCTCTTGACTCGCGAAACGTTACATTGTGCTGTAAATGTAGTACGCGCAACACATTTTGTATAGGAATAATAATCCGTGTCGTAACAGCCCTCTGAGAGCCAAGCCTGTTGAAAGTTGGCCTCACGAAAGACTGTAGAAAAAAAACCCCGAATATTAGAATGAATACAGCAGATTAAGGTCGTAGTGATATGAACTAAAATAGCATGCTGCAGTATGTCAGGCATAATTACTTAGAAAGACTGACTTACACGTATAATAAAATGTCCCTTGACGTTTCTGCTTAAAATACATGGCTATACGTCACTTCGACACGAACTCAGGACAAAGTGAGAAACCCACCGTTCAGAGCATTTGGCTTGCATTAAGCCCCTGCCTCAAAAAGCAAGGTATTGCGGTACACTGATGGTTGGCATAACTAAATCATCCTACTTCTCAATTTAAACAAACAAAATACACACTTCGTAAACTCCATTCCAACAAGCGGTTACCCGTCCGTGAAACGTCTGCTGAGGCTAACCCCTCCCTCCCTCCTATTGTGAAATTGAATGTTTTATGGCACTTGTCTGTGATCTCCCCTGCGAGGTTGGCTGGCTGGAAGAAGAATGGGAACTTACCACCACAGTAGCAGCTGGTGGTGTGCGTGGCGCATAATCATTTGAGGTTCGTCTGGTTATAGGACGGAGCAGAGAGAGAAGGAAATACGCTACCACAAGAAGTCATTCCTCATCAAGATGCCCTTTCGTGTTGTCATTAAAGTGGATCTTAAGGAAATACATTTCCAGATTGCAATACACTTATTTGTAGACTTCTAACAAAATGATCCTATTATCTCACAAACACATTACTCTAAAATACTGGTTTTTTTTGTTTATTATTTTAACAAATTATGTACTACTCAACTTAGAGGTGCAATGATCACATCTCAAATGGACTAACACAGTACATCCACAGCACTGCATGATGCTTTGTAAACAAGGAGCCAGTTAACAAGATAATTGCTTATTTCCCTGAACATTACACATTTCCTGTCAGTAATTTAGGACAACAGAACCTTCTAACCCATACTGAGAATTGTTGTGCATAACCTCAACATTCCTCTTGGTGCAGCTGCACCAATGCTGAAAACACTGGACTACAAAGCAGTGCAGTGCATTAAATTGAAAATGGGTTACTTCAGAGGTAGCACATAACCTTTTCTGTAGACTCTGTTTTCAAGTTGTGCACCAAAGAACAATCTTATCCAGGTGTTCCGAGGTATGAGAAAGAGTACAGTATGTGTGAGTTAATTGCAACTCCATTCTAGAAATTCAGAGGACAAACAACTGCTGCCATGGCATAAGAATTTACAATATTTCATAAACAAACAGAAGTGGGAAATTGTCCAGGGCTTCATGCCTGTAGGGGCCTTCCATGCCTCACACCTCTATTTCTATGTATCAAAATTGCCTTTCAACCTTAAATTGTTGTTATACTTTGCCTCTCACGTAATTTTATCTCAGCCCAACAACAATTAATATGGAAGTGCAAGTTGATTAAAGCCTGTGAGTTCTTTAAATGCCTTCCATAAAATGCTATTGTTGACAGTAGATTTATTATGTTCTGCTGCTGTTGACAGCAATTGATTCTGTTCTCCTCTTAACTTCTGAGTAATTGGCAATCATCTGCATTAGTATTTACAGCTTAAAAATGAAGACTTGCATGAACTGGGTGAGTCCATATCTAGAGAGGTAGTTTCCAAGTAATTAAAATTATAATAACTGAAATTGCATAAAACGTCTTAGATGAACCCATAAGGTGTTCTTCACTCATGCTGGGACATGAGTAACACCTAATAACTGCAAAACGTACTGAATGGAAATTGAATGTTTGTGTATCATATTACTTCTCAGAAGGTGAAAATAAAGTGTAATTGTGGTTCTGTAATGTCATGGCATTGATAAATATTTATATTAAAAAGCAAGTAGAATTTTTTATTCCAGACAGTAATTTAAGATACAGTAAAGTAAAAATCACTTTACATTGTATGTACAAACAGTTAAATCAATTTCAGATCTTGCAGGATGCTTCTTTCACATGCCTATGCATGACCACACCCTGACTGATGTACGCCCACATTTTGCTCTGGTTTCATCCTGTCATTCCAGGAATAAGACAGATGTGTTACGTGATAGTGACTGCACGCAGCTTGCTTTGGACACTCCTCACAGTTGTGGCAACAATGGCAGTTCTATCAGCTGTACTGACTCCAAAGTGGCTCATTGGACCACCTAGGCTTAAACCTTCAGGTACATTAATCATAATACTACAATGGGAATCATACATGACTAAATGTTGGTGTTACTTTATTATGTAATTATCCCAGGAACTCATATTTGTACATACAGTAGCTGCTGTCTATAAATGTACAGGAGATCAATTCAGGATTTCTTCAAAACTTGTCATCTGTCTTTGATTACATTGTATGCTGTAATGCTTTCAGGGGCAATTGATCATTCCAAAATTTGGGATATTAATGTATCTTTACAAAACTGAAAACTACTAATTGGTCCTTGCCTTCTTTGCTACCCTAAGAAATAAGGTTAGCACTCTTCATATTATGGGTTCAGATCTTGACCCAGAGACTGGCTGTACTGAGGGTTATCATGGTTTTACTCAATCCCTCCAGGAAAATACCGAGATAGTGCCTTGAAATAGGCCATGGCTGCTTCTTTCTATATCCTATCCAGTCATTGTTCACTACTGATAATGTTGGAAAATAACATAAAAACGAACAGGTAATATCATTAAACTTTTAGGTGCTAAAACATGGAGTTTAATTTACAATATACCATTAGATGTCTATTGCTGATATTTGGTTAAACTTTATTCTATATGAAACCCCATACTACTTTAACTTTGGGGTTAATGGTTTACTGGTATGTTGCTCCAGTACATGGCAAGCTCAACCTTGCTTAGGTATGATGCATGTCCAATAAAGATCTTATGTGTACCAGACTAATTATTTGCCTTTAGAGTAGGCAAAATGAGGTCCGCAGTGGCCGCGTGGTCTGAAGCGTGGGTCTTGTGCCGCTTGGTCGCAGAGACTGTGGGTTCAAATCCCACTCAAGCCATGGATGTTTTTCTGTGTTGTGTTGTCCTGTGTACAGGCAAAGGCCTTGCGATGGGCAGATCCCTCGTCCAAGGAGTCCTACCAAATGTCTATAGATCAAGCCAACTGAAAAGTTGGGGACCCATAAAGGGTACCGGAAAATGTACAAATATTATTATTAGGCAAAATGAATATGAATATTCTTGTCTGCGTGGTTTGGTTTGTGACTTGAAAATATCCAATATGTGAAGTTTTCACATGTTCCAGATAACTCAAGTATGATGTATTCTCCATCAGTTGGACTTTACAACCGCTGCACCAGGTCACATGGACGCCAACACTGTGGACCATTTTCTCTTCATGGTTTGGCCACAGACTCAGAAGTGTTCCCTGGCTGGTGGAAGGCAGCTCTTGTGCTGTTGTGTATAGGGTTATCCATCATGGCTGCAACAGTGCTAACCTCAGTCCTGAGTTGCTGTGTGCAAAGCATTTTTAGGAAGAGTATCTTCACGATGTCCGGAGCTGCACAGACCATAGCAGGTGCATAGTCCGAATGCCTATGAGTATGTAGTGATGTACCAGAAGCCACATTTTAAAAAAAATCACTCTTCTGTTAGGAATATTCTACATACTTGGTCTGGTGGTGTATCCAGCTGGTTGGGGTGCTCACCGGGTTCAGAAACTGTGTGGACATGATGCTGCACCCTTCTTTCCAGCCGAGTGCCATCTTGGTAAGTCACTGTCTTTCACAAGAGAAACTTTTGACAACTGAATGCTTCCATAGTGTATGATCCCACATAACATAATTATATGATTCAGCATTGATGTGTTTATGCAGGGTGGGCTTTCTACAGCGCAGTTGTGGGAGTGGGTCTCACATTTGTGTGCGCAGTGTTGTCAGTTCAGGCAGAGGTGGCCACGTCCAGTGACAAGGTTCAATATCAGATTCACCAAGGACGGACACTAATATGTCTGCTGTGAATTACTCCACAGACAAATGTAAGTGTATAAATAATCTCATATACCAAAGAGCATACATTTTATATGCTTACATTCATTTTCTAAGCAATTTTATTGGAATGCATACCATTTATATTTTACCTATTATCACAGGTTTTTATTTATTTATGGTTTATTTAATGATGCTGCCAAATGTTCATAATATATAGCATCAAATGATGGGGTGACTAATGAATTGGAAAGGATATGGAAGGAAGCAGTCAAGGCCTAATGTAAGATATTATCCTGGCATTTATCTGGAGAGATTAAAGAAAACCATACAAAATCTC